CACTTTTCAGATATTATCGTGTTTAATTTTTGTAACAACCTGTTGGGTACTTAACTGTCCCCATTTTGGCAGAAAAGGAGGTTAGGTACCAGCCTGGCATCTTGTGGCTGATTAAGAAGGCTGGGGTTTGAAAGTGATCTCTCTGAGCTCAGCCTATGCCTTTACACACCATGGCCTACCACCAACTAAGTGGACATCTGTCTAGCTGGATGGCTTTTGAATGATGCTTTTATGGGTTGAATTGTGACCCCCATCCCTTCCACAGAAGAAAGATATGTTGCAGTCTTAACCCCATGTACCTCAGAATGTGACCTTTTTGGAAATAGGGTCATTGCAGTTGCAATAGTTAAGATGAGGTCATACTGGAGTAGGGTGGCTGCCAGAGAAGAGACACAGACACACAGGGGAGAAGGCCATGTGATGACAGAGGCCGAGACTGAAGCGCTGCAGCTACAAACCAAGGAACGCCAAGGATTGCCAGCAGCCACCAGAAGCTAGAAAAAGGCAAGGAAGTATTCTCCCCTATAGGTTTCAGAGGGTCATGGTTCTGCCAACATCTTGATTTTGGACTTGTAGCCTCCACAACTGTAAAACAATACATTTCTGTTTTAAGCCACTCAGTTTGTGATACTTTGTTACAGCAGCCACAGGAAACTAATATAGTGGCTAAATCTTTTTTTTCCTCCCCTGGGAAATACTTTTTACCACAAGCCTAAGTACTGCCGACAGTCAACTCACCAGCTTTGAACCCAACTAACAGCTCCTCCAGCACGAGCCAGCCCAGCCTGCACGTCTCTCTTACAAGCCATTCGCCCACCTTATTCCGGGACAAAATGAAGACAAACCTGCAAACGTAAACAAAAAACAAATATTCTATCATGATTTAGTATGAAAAAAAATCCCACTTTTGTCAACCCCATATGAAAGAAATGTAACTTCTTTAGAGAGGCTCACTCAGCTGGAAAGCAGCAGGGGGAGGTATGCCTCTGGCATCAAGATCTCTGTCAAGAGCTGCCGAGGCCCCACACGGCCAAGGCTGACCTCACAGCGCGGACGAAAGGAGCACGTCCCCAGAGACCTAACCAGAGCCTGGGCGCGTTCCCGTCCCCCTTGGTAGCGGCCAAGTAGGGGCCTTTTGTTCAGGTGCCTTCCTTGGCTGATAAGCTCCCCCCAGGAATTCTCCCTGCAGTAGGTGAGACTGTTCATTCAGGCGGATTTATCTATGACCACCTGTCAAACATCACAAGCTGCCAGGGGAAAAACTGCTGGCAAAGAAGTCATGCTAATATGAACTCGCCTTATTTTGTATTTCAGGAATTAGCCAGGCCCACTTGACAAGCTGATACCCAGCTCTACTCTTCAGAGTTAGAGAAATGCTGGCAGCAGTCCTCCAGTTTTCAGGAGCTAATATTCAGAAATGTTCTGGTCTCATGGTGCCCAATGGCCAAAAATTAAAAGAGTCCAGAAGATCCAGACACAACAGTGGGGCTTCTTTTGCCATCAAGAGGCATTCATCCATTTATTCATTCACTCACTCACTCAGCATTTGTTGAGTGCCAAGCCCTATCCGTCACCCTGTGCGCCTGGAAGAAAGGAGCTGGCGGCAAGAGTAGGGCAGAGAGTAGGGTTACAGCTGGCTTGAAGCAGACTAGACAGTGGCTTCATGCTCTTGCCCTCTTCCATATAGCACCCTCCTGCCCCCTGCCCTCCAGTTCCGGGCAAGGAACAGTACACAGCAACCAAAATCCCATCTGGTTTGCGGCAGACGTGTTAAGCACACCCACCGGTGCTGGGGACCCAATCTTCCCTCCAGGCAGTCACTTCTCTTTTCTTTCCCATTAAGAATTTTATTACCTCTCTTAAATGCATTTGTACTGTGCACACACAGGTACACCACAGTTGATTCTTAGTCTTTATCTTACTTGATGTCTCAGTGGCACTGGACACAGTTGATCAACTCCCACCTTCTTCAAATATTTTTTTTCTTGGCTTCCAGAATATCACACTCCTGGTTTTCCTTTTACCTCAGTAGCTGCTCTTTAGTCTCCTCTGGCAGTCCTCCTCCTCTTCCTGATCTCTGTTTCAAACCCCAGACGTTCTCTTCAATGTATTCACTCCTTAGGGTTCTCATACTGTCCTATGGCTTAAGTACTATCCATATCTAAATTTCCCAATTTATAGCATAAGCCCTAACCTTTTCCTTAAACTCCAAACTTATATAAACAACTGGTATTAGTTATCTATTGCCATGTAACAAATTGCCCCCGAAGTTAGTCGCTTAAAATAGCAAATATTATCTCACACAGTTTCTGAGGGTCGGCAATCTGGGAGCAGCTTAGCTGGGTAATTCTGGCTCAAGGTCCCTCAGGAAGCTGCCGTCTTCTGGGGCAGGGGTGGATCCACTTCCAAGCTCATTCGCACAGCTGTTGACAGGAGCAATCAATTTCTTACCATGTGGGCCACTCCCTAGGGTTGTTTGTGACGTGGTAGTTGACTTCCCCCAGAGTGAGTGATCCAAAAGAGAGAGAGAGAGAGAGACAGAGAGAAGCCGAAAAAGAAGGTGCAGTGTCTTTTATAACCTAACTGTAGAAGTGACATACTTCTTCCGTGTTTTGTTAGTCACAGAGACCAACTCTGGTACACTTGAGAACTACTCAAGGGTGTGAAAACCAGGAGGTGGGAAGCGGGGATCATTGGGAGCCATTTTAGAGGCTGGCTACCACAGGTATCTAATTGATATCACAGAATTAATATATCCTAACTCAAAATCTTTACTCACATCATCCCCCAAAACTTGCTCTTCTCTCAGTCTTCCCAGTCTCAATAAACGGTAAACGACAGCATCATTCACTCAGTTACTCAGGCCCCAAACCTTCAAGTTATCCTTGACTCTTTCTCATACACTCATTGATTCTATCAGCAAATTCTGTGCATTCTGCTTTCAGAATATATACCACATATGATCACTTTTTACCCTCTCTGCTGCTACGACTCCAGTCCAAACCACCACCACTTCTTCTAACTAGTTTCACTACTTCCACCCCTGCCTCTGCAGTGTATTCTCCACATAGTAGCCAGAGCGAAGATTTTTCCCATGTCAGATCATGACACACCCCTCTTCAAAATTCTCCATTGGCTTCCCCCTTCAATCAAGAAAACAAATCCAAACTCCTAAGGTTTTGTGCAACCTGGCCCTTGTGCATTTGTCCAACTTTCTTTCCTTCACTTTCTTCCCCTCAGTTCCCCTCTTTAACCACACTGGCCTTTTTTCTGTGCCTCCGACATACCCAGTTTACTCCACCTGAGGGCTTCACATTTGCAATTCCCTGTCTGGAATCATCTCCAGGCACTCAGAAGGCTGGCTCCCTCACTTCATTCAGCTCCCTGCTCAAATGTCACCACCTCATAGGCCTTCCCTTACCACCCATCTGAAAAGCACTCTCCCTCCCCTTAAATAATTTATTTACACTTGTCCCTTAATGCAGTCTCCATAAGGTCTTTTATCTGTCCTGTTCACTGCTGGATCCCCATTGCCCAGAGCACCAGGCATATAGCTGGCACTCAATAAACATTTGCTGGACTAATGAATAGAATACAGATATAAATGCTTAAGAGTTTTAAAAATTCCAGTTTGAAGAAAAATCTGAATTATTACAGTGGTATAGGAATATATAGGTGTGGGAGGGCCCCAGAATAAGGACATTTCATGTTGGTTCCATAAGCATTTACAGGCTCTTTGAGGTACATCACAAAGCCCAAAAGAGGATAAAAAACACTGACAATATAATTGCTACTTTCCAATTCAGTACAAGATCTAGGACGGGTATATACTTTCTTAGCCTCTCCAATCCATTTGCCCTGAAATAGTGTGGTCTAAAACTCACCATGTCACTCCCCTGCTTCAAACTCTTCAACTACTCACCACTGCCCTAAAGATAAAACCCAAACTTCTTGCTGTGGCTCACAGAGAACTTCTTGATCTCACCTCAGTTTACCCCCCCATCTTCATTTCTTACTCTCGGTACCACACTCCAGCCAAACTGAAATGCTGGCTATTCTCCAAAGACATATTTTCTTTTGTTTGTGAGTTTTTGCCCATTCTGTTTCCTCTACCTGTAACACTCCCCCTTGCCCCCGCTGCATCAGTTAACTTGCTGCATAGCAAACCATTCCAACTCTTTCTTCCTTCAGCAGGCTTCTTTGCACGTCTCAGGGTTCCCAGCAGGAAAAGAAGGCAAGCCCTAATGTGCAAGTATTTTTCAAGTCTCTGCCTGTGTCACACTTGCTAACCCCATTGACCAAAGAAAGACAAGGCTAAGTCCAGATTGCAGGGGTGGAAAAATAAACTCCACTTCATGGGAACAGTGGCACAATCACAATAAATTAGGGGCAAGCCACACAGGGATGGGGGGGAATTACTGTAGTCCTCTGCAAGAAATTTACCATAATTCTCCACCTCTTTGTCAGCTCCTACTCGTCTTCTGGTCTCAATCTGGAAATCGCCTCCTCAAGAATGATTTCCTGGTCCCTAAAGCCTGAGTGAAAAACCTTTCCCCTAACACCTTATATTCACTATTATTGCATATATTATTCTCTATGACCACCGAATGAATGGATTTATATGATAAATGCTGGACCTCCAGCTCACACAGTTGAGCTGCTGTACTCTCCATTTTATGACGATGTACTGTCAGCTTTCCCTACCTGATGGGAAGGTCACTGAAAGGAGGGAGTGTGTCTTGGTTTCTGTTTTATCTTCATTGCCTAGTACAGTACCTGGTATGAAGCAGATACTTAAAAATATCTGCAAAATAACAAACACATAATTATAATGAAAGTAAAATGAGGTAGTTGCCATCTAAAAAAAGACACCAAGAGTGTTCTTGGGACCCCTGCAGGACTCAGCAGGCTGCAAATATTTAGGAAGATCTGAGACAGCATAAAACTAACAGAAATAAGAAGAAAATGCCCACCAGAGGGGAGAAAAGAGGAGAAAAATAACCACAGAAAGCAACACTTTCCTTTTTATTAGATTCACAACACCTTTTTAAAGTCCAACCTCTCTTTGTAAAATGTTTCGTTATTAACTTCCTCATCAGAAAGCAGACAACCTGCGTCCCTGAAAGATGAAAACCTGGTACAGCGCCCAGTCCTCAGGCCTGCATCTGTGTGGCTTAGCAGCAGCAGTCAAGTCCAGCATCTCAGAGAAAAGCACTGTGAAGGCCAGGAGCTAATCAGCCGGGGCCTTCCCTACTTCATGTATACATATATATATGTGTGTTCCTACATACACATATATACATACACACAGATATTTTTTTTTTACAAAAATAATATAACAGGGTTTACACAGCTCTATTAATTCTTTAAATTTACATAGGCAGGATCTATGCTTCGTTATAACCATTTTTTACTTTGGATTAAAGTGGAAATTTTAGGCCTAAAAATAGATTTAAGATTACCGAACAGAGGCCATACAGCAACACAGACTTAATAAATCTTGATCATCACATAACTTGAAATATGCTGTTATTTCTTATCCTTGGTGCTACACATCCCCATCAATTATTTTCATTTTAACTAAAATACAAAAGCAAAACAGTTCAATGAAAAAATCTTCTACTCATTACATTAGCACATATACCAAATTATACTAACTGCATGATAATCTCTGTGTACCAAGACTATATTTTTAGCATGTGCTCATCTCTACCTCATTAAATACAGTATCCATCCAGCAAAAAAAAGAATGCATGCTGTACAGCAAAAGAAGAAAACAACACTTTGCGGGTTGTTATCTTACGTGACAACCAAAAACAAAACAAGTAAGAGAAACAAACCTTACAAGATAGATATAAAACTAATTTGCAGTGACATTTAATATACACTTTTATCAGAAGGGATACATTTAGGTCACAGTTACATGGAAAAACACAAACTATGTGAAATTCTAGGCTTTCTCCTAGAATATTCAAAATGCTCATCAAAAGTTAATTAGTGGAATAAAGATGGCTACTGGGTGACTGAATAAACAGAATGTCATTTAGTATTTTAAAAACACAGATTCTGGGAATAGAAGCTACCACCAAAATATCCAGAAATCTGAGTTAACAGATACTCTATTTTGCATACTTGATACTAATGAATATAACAAGTGTTTACACAGACTTTGAATGCAAGGCAATAGCCTAAAGGATAGTCACAGAAAAGAATAAATGAACACAGTCCCACCACAGTGAGTACAGAGAGCTCCTGCCGTTTCTTGGTGTCCCCCATTTACCCCAAACAAGGGCCATCTCTTTGGGGCAGAAATCTTTCAATAGCTCAAGCCCATTCCCTCTGCCCCGACCAAGATACAACAGGGCCCAAGCTTGGTGCCAGAAAGTTTTTCAGATGCTGGTATAATTCTTGATTATTCAGCTGGACAGGGCCTCTTCCTGGCCTCTCGGGTTCTGACTTGCAGAACCCCCTTCCCACAGAAGGGGTCAGCACTGTCTCTGAAACCACAGATGGGGTAACTCTAGAAGAATCAGAAGAAGGAGGTATCTGATGAAAAGGCACCTGCAAGTCTGAAATCCTCTTTGGTAAGAACACTATACATGCGCTGTGGCAGAGCTCGGGAGTAGGGAGCAGGCCGTGGCACAGTGCTGCGCAAAATGAGTTCCCGGCCAGCAGGGGGTGGGAAGTCTGACATGGAGTTCTGCCTTCTTTCTTCCGGGGAGCCCATTCTCTTCAGTTCCTCCTCTGGCGGAGCCATGCCTGCAGCCTTGAATAGAATCAAATGTTAAATTCAAGAGCAGGTCGAATGCTAAACTTAGATATTTTCGAAAAACAGATGAATAAACATGATAAATACATAAAAATGTTCTACATTACTCAGTAACGCAGTCAACTATGTTATGATTATTCAAAAAACACAACACAGAAAATGCAAGAAGCTTGAAACACTGCATGAGCAGCCAGAGATTACAAATAAACTGGTGATAGAGACAGAAAAGATAATGCCTACCAGGCAATCTGCTGTGAAAAGTGAAGGCTATATTCAGACATCTGATGAAGAGGGAAAATGCAGCAGTACTGGTTTCTATACGTTTCTTCTAGCAATGACAAGTCCAAGTCTGATGTCCTCAGTTCAGTAAGGAGCTGTTTCTCTCCAGAGTCTGGAAAGATGGGTTTCAACCCAATTCTTAAGACTCACTTGCCAAATTAAAACTGGGGACATCAGTTTTGTTTGCTGGGTGGCTAATGCAGAAGTGAACAGAGGTCCATATAGCAATGGCCACAAAAGACAATTCTCAATATTAAAGGCACATATTTTTTCATTAAAAATTACCTAAAATACATATTCAATTAAAGCCTTCAATTTTAACTCTGAGCACTATACTTCTTTCATTTCTCTGATCACTATACTTCTTTTACAACACCATTGATTTAGGAAAAGTAATTGCTTTGGCAATGGAAATATGAAATCATGTTATGCTAAACATCAGCAAGAAAGGTATGCCAAATACAAACTGTTATGGAGGTGGTTAGTCTTAATGACCTTATGATGTTAGAGGGATGGGAAGGAACAAGGAACTATGAGGGACAAAGGCTATTTTGTTACCTCATCAGAAGATTCAGTCAGCTGGAGAAAGGGTGAGAAAAGAAAGAGTGATGAAAAGGAAACAAGCAAGATGGTTTAAAAAGAGCTAGACAAGAGATTTCAAGATTATTTCAGAGACAGCATGCACTACATTGAGGAACATGATCCTATCAAAAGAATATCAAGACAAACACACAGCACATACAACAAACCTAGCTGTCAAATCGAGCAGACATATCCCACCACTCATGCGTATGATGGTCAACAGATGATGTACAGTGTCATTTAATGGGGAAATGATTCAACAGAAATCTAGTTCCTTTACTGAAGAATTAAGATGCTAAAAGAATGCTCATGGCTTGAAAAATAGATAATCCAATGAATTTAAGAATAGGTGTCTCAGAGTTATTCAATCTAGCAAGACTGAAGCAAAATCCAATCAGTGGTTTATTTGCTGAATTCCATATATTTATTTATTTAAAAGATTTTATTTATTTATTTTCCCCCCAAAACCCCAGTAATAGTTGTATGTCATAGTTGCACATCCTTCTAGTTGCTGTATGTGGGACGCGGCCTCAGCATGGCCGGAGAAGCGGTGCGTCGGTGCGCGCCCGGGATCCGAACCCGGGCCGCCAGCAGCGGAGCGCGCGCACTTAACCGCTAAGCCACGGGGCCGGCCCATGCTGAATTCCATTTAAATATATATATATATACCACGGACACATGTAATCATGATGAAGTTTATAAAAATATATGATTTTAAGGAAAAGTTCTAAATATATAAAATTACTGCATGCTATAAAAAATTCTCAGTGACATTTCATCATACCTCTTTAAAAATGTTAAAATCTTGATTTATAAGTAAAATTAATAAGCTCAGTTAATTATGAAAAGAAAAGTTACATGAATAAACCTGAATGGTTTATTTTAGCTAGACATTTAAGGACTAAATTTAAAAATGTACCAACCAGGTGCTTTCTTTGTGGATTTCACAGTCCGCCAATTCCCTAAAAACATCCACTACAAGGTCTGAAAGTTTGAAATCTTTTAAAACTTTACAACATGGGACAAATGTACAATTTCAGTATCCATTAAAGGGGATTAGCTATACGATGAGGCCATTGAAAAGATGATATACACTCCTATATTTATCGATGTAGAAAGATAATTATATTAAGTGGAAAACAAGGAAAATTATATAACAGAATCCTATTTTTGTAAAATATACATCTATTTGTATACACTAGATGTTAAATGTTGAGGGCCGTTATCAGTGGGGAGTGAGATGATGTGATTAATTTTTTCTTTATAATTTTCTGTGTTGTCCAAGTTTTTACAATGCACTTTTACTTGCAGTCTGGGGGGAAAAAGGCTATTTCCATTTGAGGGAAAATAATTTTGCTTAACTATTCAAAACAAGTAACACTCTCAGCATTAAAAATATAAATACTTTAGATTTTAAATCCTCTTAATACACAAGTTTTAAAAAAATGAGAAAAGAGAAAAGAGTTTTTGCAATATGAAGAAAATTCATATTGGTGGCAACAAGGAAATGTGCTTGTAAGCTTCAGGCTAGTAAGCTGGAGAAGATATTATAGGATATGAAAACAAACTCATCAGTTCTTGGTTTCATGCCAGAGACAAAAACAAAATAAATCAAAGTAAGTATCTATTGTTTTCTAGAACTCTAATTTATAAGGAAATAAAATGCTTGGTTTTTAACTTGAAATTTTTAAATTTAGGGAGCTACCTCATAAATAATCTCAGGTTTTAGTTCTTGCTAAAAATTCAGATCAGCATATTTGGCTACGATTTTTGAATATATTAACTAGATGTACTCCAGACTGACTCAAAGGAGATTATGAGGTTGTTATTCCATATGTTGATCCACAAAAATTCTTTTTCTTATTTGATTCTGAGAATTACACCTTCAAAACCGGGTCATTCTAGTGTTATCGGAGTACCAGGTAAGGGGCATCCTGTATTTAGTGCACTTCATAATACTTTTATCAGAATCTTTAATATTAATGAGCCCTGACAGGAGAATCATCTGCAGGATACCAGCACCTTTTAACCAGTAAACAGGATCAGAAGAGTATCAGCAGAAAATATAACTGGTATCACCTTCATAAAAATCCAAATTTTAATAGTTTTAGAATGTCAGAAAGTACGATATAATTTTTAAACCTTTACTGTCATTACTAGAGGTAACGATGAAGATAATTTTTCAAATTGGGCTTTCTTTCTGTGCTGAAGCCTAAGTTTCCATAGTTTAAAAATCTGAAATCCTGCTCTTCTTAGGAAACCTCTAAAGTTAGATCTCTTCACCATTACAAGAATAGTTAGATTTACTAACTTAACAAGCTAAGTTGTGAATCCATTTGCAGTACAGGGAGCTTAAAATTGGTAAAACTGAACTCCATTCTAATCTGAAAGTGGTAAACATTTTTTTCTACAGCACAGCACTGGCCACTGCTAACCAAGTCCCTATCAGATTCTATCACAATGGATTTCAGACTCTTCTAATTTCTGAAATTTAGGTCCTAAAATATATTTATCATTTTACTTAAACATGTAAGAAAGCAAATGGATTTCAAAGACTCAGAAGTCACTGCTGAGAGGCATTGTTTCTTCAATGTTCAAACCAATACCCAGACTTACACTCAGTTAGCAGCTGTACGATCGGCCACGTGTGGGAATCAAAACAGCATCTTACCGAGTAGAAGTCTCATGAGTAGAGGTCTGTATCATAATGATACAGTCAATAAGGAATCTCACATACCCTTTGAGCATTCATAAACAGCTTGTGAATGATCTTGCCAGCATGTCCTCTTCCTGCACCAACGACTAACACTTCAGGTTGCTCCAAAAGGCAACTCACAAACCTAGGAGAGAGAGATAATGAAAGGATAGAAAGCAAGCTGCTCAGCTCACATTGTGCCAACCCTCCAAGATTAATTCTGTGGACAAACCCTCCAAATGATACTGGCTAAACCTACCGAGGCTGGAATGGAAATGTTATAACAGGACAGATGGACATTTGGAATTAAAATCAACTCAAATGACAGTCTTACTACCTTTCAACTGTTTGCATAAAATTTTTTAAAAGCCCATCTCTAAGTGTAAGAAGAAATATTCAGTCTATTTCTTTCAGACTAGAAGCTTAGAAAATGCTACAGTAAATAAAAGATCAAAAAAAAATTTCTGAACAACAAAAATCAAGTTTCACTTATACAGCAAAGCAAAGCAATGATCCATATTTCTCATTTTTGTTCTTTTAAGGGGTGTGTGTGTGTATGTGTGTGCATATGCGCGTTTCAAATGTTTTGCTGGGCAAAGTCTCAATTGTAAACTGTGCCATTATGTGCTGGAAACACTGTACTTCCAAGTATATCACAGATACCGTATGGTGGAGCTAAGAGAGTCAAAGGCACAGACCCACCAAGCCTGCACCACCTGCTCACTAATTCATACTGCTATTTTAGAGATCATTCCCTTGATTAGAGTTTATTTTTCTCACTTAAAAGGAAGGAATTTTCAAGAGCAAAGAAGGCTGGGAGAAAATTTCACTCAACAAAAGCAAATGCCTTGTCATATAAAATTAATCATTTAGCATCAATAATGCCATTTCTCCAGGAAAGGCTGATGAAAATTTTAAAGTTACGATGAATTCAAGCTGCTAAAGTAGCTAATTTGGAAACACTTTATCATATATTAAAACAACATTGTCCTTTCAAGTACTACAGGGAAAACGGACAGGGACTCACACTGACAGGCTCTGTTGGTATTGGTGCCCTCTCAGAGGAGGAAAGGACTGACCCAGTCATCTGCCTCATCCTGGAAAGGCCATCTGGTCACTCTTTCAAAATACATTCGCAAGATGCATAGGATGTACACCCTCGCTATCACAAATCTTGTTTAAAATTAAATAAATAACTTGGAATATTGAGCAGAAATACAGTTTCAGAACACCTCAGACTGTGGTTAAGGAACAGAGAGCTGAAAGCAAAGCTCTGGGGCACTTCAGGTAACAAAGAGTGAACGAACAGCTCCTCTGCAGGAAACTGCAGGCACCACATCTCCAAGAGCAAACCAGGACATTCCTAGAAAAAGAGACCTGATAGACTTGTTTCTAAAAGTAGGAGGAATGGAAACATTTGGAAAATACTCAGAAGTATAGTAGAGGTCAAATCCTACGATATTTAAATATTTCTCTATCTCTAGCCAATGCTTGTTACAAATAATATAGGAGCACCACAAAAGAATCTCAATATGCTATTAAAATTTCCTAAAGAGAGTGGTGGCTGTTTTTGCTGTAGATAAAAATGAGTTAGCCAAACAGCAATTACCTTTCAAGATCTTCCTTTTCCTCCTCTTGTTCACATTTCTCAGTTCCAAACTTGGCTTTCAGTGAGCGGGCTCTAGCAATCATAGCTTCCACATTAGTAATTTGATGGATGATTTCCTAACAGTGGAAAAGGGAGAGACACACTTGAAAGACATGAAAAAAAAAGCAAAGCCTTTTAAAAGTGTATCTTTAAAATAATTATTGCCAACTGGGGAGAACACTTGGCAAGATCCTGACACTACATCAAACTTACTTCCAATTTCTTGTCTTCTGGATTAGGGAAGTGTAAAACTTTACTGGAATGGGATATTATCTGCTTTATAATCTTCTTAACTGAAGAAATGTTTTCCAGACTTTCTATTTTTAAAAAGATCAAAGCCATCATTAAATAAGTTAGGCAAAATATACTTTCATTTTGGAATGAACTAATGACTAATCAAATAAGACATTTACCTTCTTCTTTTACCTTGAGTACCGCTGCATGAATTACACAAGGTAACAGGTGTCGAGCAAGGTCTGCAGGTTTCTGGACTGCTAGATAGTGCAGTACCTAACAAAGTTAGATAAATGATCAGTGCAGTTGTCAAAGAATAAAGCAGCCATTTATGAAAGTAAAAAAATCCTCTGGACCACTGAACTCACATGTGTAACAAGAGTAGAGAAGAGCTCTCTTCTCTTAATACCTACCCCTACTCATCAAGGTAAGTAGCTACTACTCCCAAAGCAAGAACAATGTTATTGAAAACAACTTCAGTCTTTAATAATGATGAATATTCTTATAATGTTTTTTCCTGCTTCCATATTTAATACATGGAAATTAGGAGAATAAAAAGAAAATAAAAACCAACTGTAAATTACACCACCTAGAGATAACAGTTAACAGTGGAGCATTTTCATTCCAGGATTTTTTAAGACATTGAATACACATAATACATTAAGTGAACTAATATTAAGTATGTAAAATTCAGTTTTATAACTGCTTTTCTCACTTAATATTTCTAAACATTGCTACTGACCTTCCACTAATTTTTTCAGTTGGTTTTAGTTGTTTTGGTTGACTGTTTTTTTCCAAAATGGAAACTGTTTTATTATTTTTCTGATTAAAAAAAATACAGAGAAGTATGTGTAACACATGGACCCTACCTTTAAGCTCATTATCCAACAGGAGTAAAGATAAAAGAAATATAACCTCATAATGTCAGCCTGGCTGATAAATGCTCACAGATTTTAAAAATAAATTAATAGGGGCCAGCCTGGTGGCATAGCGGATAAGTTTGCGTGTTCCGCTTCGGCAGCCCAGTACGATACCGGTTCGGATCGTGGGCGCGGACCTACTCACTGCCCATCAAGCCATGCTGAGGTGGCGTCACATAAAGAGCTACAATTCTACAACTGTGATACACAACTATGTACTGGGGCTTTGGGGAGGAAAAAAAAAGAGGAAGATTGTTAGTGCAGGGCCAATCTTAAAAACAAAACAAAACAGAATAAAAAAAAAAACAACGCAGAGCCCTACTCCTCAGAAACTCTGGGAGCAGTCCTGGGCATCTGCATTTTAAAAATAAATAAATAAATAGGGGCCGGCCTGGTGGTGCAAGCGGTTAAGTGCGTGAGCTCTGCTGCGGCGGCCCAGGGTTCGTCGGTTCAGACCCCAGGTGCGCATTGACGCACCGCTCGTCAAGCCATGCTGTGGCGGCGTCCCATATAAAGTGGAGGAAGATGGGCATGGATGTTAGCCCAGGGCCAGTCTTTCTCAGCAAAAAGAGGAGGACTGGCAGATGTTAGCTCAGGGCCAATCTTCCTCACACACAAAAAACTATATAAATAAAAAATAAAAATAAATAAATACAGAGAAGTAGAATGCAAAGGTTCTCCAAAAATTCTACTTCCTAACGAACACCAGTTTCGTGTTTATCTTCTCAAACTTATTTCTACGTCCATTTAAATGCAAGCATATAGATGCATATGCAGTTTCTTAAAAATTCATAATATATATATACTGTTTCATAACTTGCCTTGTTCATTTAATGACATGTTTTTTATTTTTTGGCTGGAGGGTGCTTTGTGGCTTGAAACTTTTTTGCAATTAAGAAATATACATCCAGAGTATTTATAAACAGTTTAAAGAAAACATGAACACTTGTTTATACACCGACCAGCTTAAGATACAGAACATCCCCAGTAATTCCAAGTGCCCTCCCTGATCAAGTCTCCCTCCCTCGTGTACCCTGTCCCCCTAAAAGGAACTATGTACTAATCATTTCTTTTGCTGTTCTTCGTAGTTTTCTCACATATGTATGTAGCCCTAAACAATGTGTTGCTTAGCTTTGCCTGGTTTTAATCTTTATACAAATGGAATGTTTCTGGTTAAACCCCTCAGTGACTTTTTTTTTTTATTCAGCATTGTTTCTGAGATGCATATATGGTGATACATGCTATAGTATTCATTTTCACTGCTGTATTAAAATGTTCCCCCACTGATGGACCTCCCCCCATTTTTTGGCTATTACAAATAATGTCCCTATTATATTACTGTCTATGTTTCCTAGTGCACATGTAGAGGAATTTCTTGAGGGTATATATCTAAATACAGAATTAGGATACGTACAAGATAATGCCAAATCATTTTACAAAGTGTTTCAACAGATTAACATTCTTATCTATAGTGATTTAGTTCCCTGTTGTACATCCTTGCTAACACTTATTATTCCAAATTTTGTTTTCCTTAACTTATAGAAAAACATATTTGCAAGAATACAAAATACTTATGTACCCTTTGCCTAGATTCACCTATTGTTAACCTTTTACCTTATCTATTTTATCACTTGCATCTCTCTCCTCCTCTGTATGTGCATACAATATATACACATACATTTTTTACAGAATAATTTGAGGGCAAGTTGCATACATCATGTCCCTTTATCCCCAAATATCTCAGTATTTCTTAAAATTAAGAATGTTTTCTTATATAATCAAAATATAAACTATTTTGATTATATAAACTACAGTAAATTTAACACAGATCAAATACTTTTAATCTAACCTACTACCCTTATTACAATTTTGTCAATTGACCGAATAATGTCTTTTATAACCCTTCCCACTACCATACAGGATCCAGTTAAGAATCATGCATTGCCTTTAGTTGTCACATCTCTTTAATCTCAACGAATCTGCAACAGTTTTCCAGTTTGTCCTTTTATAACATTGACATTTTGAGTATAGTCCCCCCCTCTTTTGGTTAACTAAATTCTATCCTTTATTCATATTTCCTTCATTTAAAAAAATTGACATATAATTTACATACATAAACTTAACCACTTTAAAATGTACACTTCATGGTTTTTAGCATATTTACAAGGTTAGGCAACCATCACCTTTAATTCCAGAATATTTTCACCACCCTAAAAAGAAACCCAGTACCCAATAGCAGTAACTCCCCATTTTTCCCACCTCCCAGCCCCTGGCAACTATTAAACTATTAACATTTCTGTCTCCATAAATTTGTCTATTCTGGATATTTCATACAAATGGAATCATACAATATGTGGCCTTCTGTTTCTGGCTTCTTTCACTTAGCATAATGTTTTCAAGGTTCATCCATATTGTAGCATGTATCAGAATTTCATTCATCTCATGGCTGAATAATATTCCTTTGTGTGAATATACCACATTTTGCTTACCCATTCATGAGCTGATAGACATTTGGGTTGATTCCACTTTTTGGCTATTATGAATAACACTGTCAACATTTGTGTACTCAATTTCCCTAGTTTTTATCTAATGTCATTTTCATGTTCTAGGATCCCATCCAGGATATCACATTACATTCAGCAGTCATGTTTCTAGGCTCCTTTTGGAAGTGACAGTTTCTCAGACTTTCCTTGTTTTTACTGACCTTTAAAGTTTTGAGGAATTCTAGTCGGGTATTTTGTAAAAAGTCCCTCAACCGGGATTTGATATTTTTCTTATGATTAAACTGGGGTTATGCAGTTTGGGGAGGAAGAAGAGAGAGGTAAAGTGTCATTTTCATCACATCATAGCAAAAGGACATACTATGAATATGACATCCCTGTTGTTAACCTTGCTCACCTGGCTGTTTATCAGGTTTCTGACTGTAAAGTTACTCATTTTCCCCACTTCGCACACTGTACTCTTTGGAAGGAAGACACAGTCCACACTTAAGAGAGTGGGGAGTTATCTTCTAGCTCCTTGAGGGCAGAGTAGATTTAGAGTTCTTCTGTGGGAGATTTGTCTCTTCTCTCCAATTTATTTAGTCATTTATTTATATCACTATAGACTCAAGGATGTTTATTTTATTTTATTATAATTTTATTTATTTATTTATTTATTTATTTATTTATTTATTTTCCCCCCAAAGCCCCAGTAGATAGTTGTATGTCACAGCTGCACATCCTTCTGGTTGCTGTATGTGGGACGCGGCCTCAGCATGGCCGGACAAGCGGTGAGTCGGTGCGCGCCCGGGATCTGAACCCGGGCCGCCAGCAGTGGAGTACGCGCACTTAACCGCTAAGCCACGGGGCTCGCCCAAGGATGTTTATTTTATACTTTGAGTTATAATCTAAATAGTACTTTATTTATTTTGTTGCTCAAATTGCTCCAACGTTGGCCATTGGGAGATCTTTCAACTGGCCCTTGTGTCCCTTTAATATACTCACACTATTGTATTTTTTTTAGCTCTTTTTAAAATAGAATGTTTCTCATTTTGAGTTTATCTAACATTTCTTCATGATTGGACGCAGGTTATGCACTCTTGGACCGAACAGTACATAAGTAATGTTGGATCCTTCAGATTATCACATCCCGATATAAACAATCTCCATCTGCCCCTTATTGGTGATATTAATTTTGATCATCCAGTCAAGGTATTGTCCCATTTCTCCACTGAACAGTTACAACATATTTCCTCTCAACTCAGAAGTAATCTGTAGAGAGACGTTTTAAAACCACGCAAGTATGATGTTCTTCACCCAAATTTCCACCTAGACTTACGATATATTGATGATTCTTGCCTGAACCAACCTTTATTATGAATATGGTTATAAAATGAAGAGTTTCCAGCTCCAAAATATCCTCCATATGTATCAGTCATCTTTGTGCTGAAATGCCCTCGCTACTTTCCCAGTTCTTCATTTATTTACATATTATCAATGTGGATCCATGGGTTCCGATTTTTTCCAGTGGCTTATCATTCATCACTGTCCTTAATTATGTGGCACTCAAACTGTCCAGATTCGGCCAATGGGAGTCCCTTCAAGCTAGTTCTTTATGAAATGCTTTATCTGTTTTTTTAAGCACTTCCTTATTTTCTGGCAACACTTCACGTTCCACACTCACATCTTCCTTGCAGTCAGCCATTTCTCTGAGGAAAGCATGATTCCTTTTAGTGAAGAATGTTCTAGAAATCAAGATACATGTGCTGCTACTGGGATGTCGCTGCTTCTAGACCCCTTCAGAAGAGAGCTAGGAAATATATGCTTCTATATTTACATATGTACATACCCACATATCTATTCATATTTTAGAAAC